ACTATATTCATTTCATTTTTTTCCGCAAAGATGTTTCATAATAAATGTCACTGTTGGGACTTGAGGGCCTCTTGCTATTAATAAAATTTTGTTAGGGTAATGAAGTGATAAAACCTAGTGTTTGCATGACAGTGAGCCTTGAATAAGTGAAACTATTCCTAAAATCAGCGTCATATCCGACGGCCTTACATTTGTTCATGGTCTTTGCTGCGATTAAGATCAAAATCCATTTCAGGTAATTGTTTAATAATATTTCGTTATAAAATGATTGTCCTAAACGATCTATTGAAAAGTTAAATGATCACCAGAATGCGTATTTGGTTTGCTTTTTTCAAAATATGACCAGGGTTTTGAACAAGGATATAAATTATATGTGAATATAATATTAGTGTATATACGCGACATTGCTATTATCTAGCACTGTATATGATTAACTACACCATCACAATTACATTCACGTTTAGGTTTTTCTGACGCGTCTGAAATTCCTTCCAAAATGTATATTGGAAGCAAAATAATCATTCAAACAGTATTGCTTAAAGTCATCGAAATATATAATAGTTTCAATATAGAAGGTTCTTAACGCAGTGATGCAAAGGCAATGAAAATAGGCCTATGATGAAAGATTCTGTATGTTTTATTGAGTATTGCGTATTGAGTCCTATGTATATGGTTTCATTATTAGAGGGCTTTTTTTACATGTAGCTGCTACAGGTTTCTTTTAAATCATTCATACATCTTTTCATGCAAATATTCCCTTCAGAAATGTTTTGGCAACACGGCGTGGTTCTGATAATACTACGTTTGATCGTAATTTTAAATGGTAAGTAAAGAACTGTCACTAATACATAAAAATAAACTAGTTACATTTAATATCCACAACGCATGTTTTTAACAATACTCATCTATTTACAACGAATTCCAAAAATTGGTAAAATTATTCATGCAAATGATAATGAAATATTGTTTATTGCTTTTGTGTATAAGAGTAGCAAAACTAAGTAAAGATTGACTATTTGAAGAAAATCAAGTTACATTCTATACAATTGTGGCAGAATAAAAAGAAAAGAATAAAACAATCTGCTTGGTAAGTTTTAACAGAACGGCAATTTGTCGACCAATCATACCTTCTTTCTCCTCGACTTTCCCCTTTCATCCGCTTTATTCTTTTATTCTTGTTTTCGATGTAACAGGTGTAGACTCACAAGGCGCCACATGTCAGCGGAACTGGCTAAGGTATAATAACCATTGTTATCAGCATAGAAATGACGAGACAACATGGATCAATGCACAGGTATTTAATCATAACTTATTTGTATTGATTCTTACATTTTAGTAAATATACATATGTACCTTTAACAGAAAGATAGAATGAGTGGGTGGGACAATGTAGAGAGCGAAGGGGGTGGGGGGCGACGGAGACAGAGATGTCCAATATTTTAAATTGGCAATCTATAATCTATACCTGTCGCTCTTTGATCACAAAATTACAAAATATATAAGTTTATACAATGCAGTTATCAATATTGTATAACATACGAAACTTTTTTTTAAGCAAACACGAACTTATATAACGGCGTTTCGTGCTCTTAAATGACAATATCTCGTAATTCATAAGTCACAAAGTGTTATAAAGCGGATGATGAAAATATATAATTATTGTTTCACATTTCATCCTCAACGTTTTAGAGCGAATGTCGGAAACGTGACGGTAACCTTGTCAAAATAGAAACTCAAGAGGAAAACTCGTGGCTCAAGCTATTTTCAAGCTCTTCAGGTATCAATACATCTTCAAGTTTATACTTATGATAAATTTATTTAAAATAATAAAAATTGTAGTTCAAAACATGTAATTGCATACCGCCCCCCTAATATTATCAGTTCTTGGACACATTTTTGCCATGCATGTTTACTTTCGAAATTATAAAAATATAATCAAATCAAAACATAAGATCAACACGCGATTTGAACCTCAGAAGGAGAACATATCCTTAATGATCGCGGATAGATATTGGATTGTATATGTTCGTGAAGGAGGAACAAGTTCAGAAATATAGTTAGGGTGTAAGCAGTTTTAGAAATATTTGCCTATAAACAGAACATTTTTGGAATCTGGGAATAAAAATGTGCTGTGTAACTTGGAGAACTTTTTTGATATACGAGTTGTACAGGACAAGAAACAACATTGGGGAAATATGCCACCATACAGAGTGGCACATTCTATTATACATTTTCTTTGGTATTGTGATGTGAATGAAATACACACTTTAATATGGTATTTTTTATTGAATTTATTAGACTCGTATTTTCAACAGAAGAAATTAGCTTAAGATACAAAGATTGCGTAACCGTTAAAAGTTCATTGGGATAGGGAGGCATATTTTAATCACATTGATTAATAAGTGCGCATACATATTTTGTTGCGAGTTCACCCCTGGATTGGAGCAAACGACCGAAGTAGAGAAGGGGACTGGAAATGGGTTACAGACAATTCAAAAGTGGCATTCTCAGACTGGGGATCGGGTGAACCTAATAATAAGGATGGGGACGAAGATTGTGTTAATTTCTATATAGCCAATCAATGGAATGACAGCCCTTGTACATCAAAATTCCCTTTTATTTGCGAGAAACAAGGTTAGTACACAATACTGTTCACGCAAATTTACACATTCGTTTAAAAGCTGATGAATCTGGTACGGAAGTTTACACTAATGCATCTATGCTTTACATGTAGTTTACACTAGTTTTTGTAGATTATTGATTCAAATATGTTTTTGTTTATACTTTGTATGTGCATAACGATAAACGGATTGACTTCAGTTGTCATTTACGCGTAGAGAAGTGATAACAAACTGAGTGTCGAGGTAAAAGTAAAGATAAAAACGTGATTTTTATATGTTTGTTTCGATCCGTTTATTCGACAATTTTGACTTTACGGACACCGCAACTGGTCACTCAACGCAACAGTCAAAGATCTTAATAAGATCATCCAGATTTTTAGATCAAATCCCTCATGATCGCCCAATCTTTAAAAATAGTCAAATGTCTCGACTGCTTAAGGTACGCAGTTTTAGTTTTCTTTGTATCAAAGGTTAGGGATAATAAAATATGTTCGTTTTTTTGGTTTGTTTCGAAACATGTATAAAGATTTGATTCCTGGCTACATTAAGTAATGCACACTGCCTGTGATATTAACTCTCCTTTAGCAGAAATTAATCCAATAGAAAAACGCAAACTGTTTTGATCCTGGAATCGAATAAACCCATCGTTTATAAAAGTTTTAACATATAAGAATTGATAAACAATTCAATGAATCCGACATTCATTCAGGGAATACTAAATTCTTCATTATTATTTTTAAAATGTTGCTTCGTTCATTGTATTTTCAAGTTGAAATGATTTCTTTTCCAAAACATCTTCTAACGGAATCCCAGGATTGAGGGTTTTTTGTCAGCTCTTATACAATAGTTTTCCTTTCGATGGACAAGATTCATGAAATTAATATTTCTGACCGTGTGATACAATAATTATGAAGCAAGTTATTTGATCTTATTTCAATCACTTTTGTTGGCCCGGATGTACGCGTGCGGTTGGAGGAAACAGGAGTTTCCGGAGAAAACCCACATGGTCGGGCAGGTGACCCGATACTTGTTCACGTCAGATCCAGAAATCGAGTATTCATGTAAAAACTGCTAGTGCGTTATCTATGACGCGATCTGACCACCCACATGCAAAGGTGACATATAATAAATTCCTGACATACACACTAACTACTCTATCATTCATTCGTAATTGTTAACTGAATACTAAAATCTATGGCATACTGATTGTATGTACAAATTCAGGGTTCACCCTCTCTGTATTCAAATTGACACTTCATGAGAATCATACCGTTTCGTAGTACGATTAGATCAAAGGCACCTGTTGTCTTGTTTAAATGTCTCGCTTACATGTATCTTTCAGATATATGCAATTGACATGTTAACTAGTTTAACCATCTATGCAGTGTTCAATTAATCTTTACAACCATAAGTTTTAATTTCTATTGGTGTCTTTTGTTTGCAACAAGCCCACTGGCCTCAATTTGTTCAGTCTTTTCATTCAAACCAGCTCACGGTTGTGGCTTTCATATACACTTGTGTTTGAACCTCCATCCAGGCCATGGTTCTCTGTCAATTATTTCTCTTTTAGAGTTGTACTTCTGTTATATGTACTTTAGTTACATTTATCATTAATTTTTAAAGTCACAACAGATGATAAATATATACAAATCTCCAAATTATAAAAACTTCTACTACAGACTCCCACTTATTAAACATTATTTAACAACCTGGCATTAATATACATTTAATAGGAATAAAACTGGAATGATTGAGGAAATAGCCTTGGTCCTGTCTTTAAGCTTTAGATAGATTGCGTGGTCCGATGCACACGTATAATATTCCGCTCACACTCGTCAAATTAAAGTTATTAAAGTAGGGTAATATGTCGTCATTAAATAACAGCCTATCTCCACAATTATATATTTCATTAGTCAAACAAGTTCCCGTTATTTCTGGAGTGTTTTCGTGCCATATTCGTCTTATTCCAAAACATAAATAAAACTGGGTCAACTCGACTGACCGATCAGATGATCGATCGGGTCGGTGCCCACTCGACAGGCAATCTTTTTGTTAAACTTTCCTTAACGTTAACGTTATTTTTTTAACGTTGCAATAATAATCATTTTCTTTATCAAAGTAGAACAAAACGTATACATTATCTATTGATGATTTTGAAGGAATAACTCGAGTTGGATTAGTTATATTCTAATTTGATAATTCGTGTAATCATTTGAAATTAGTTCATTATATTGTGCTTCCTTCATAATTTTCCTGATTTCTATAGTTGAAATAAAAACGCTGTAAAAATTATGAATATGTATTAAATTATTTCATTACATACCCTATAATTAGTATGAAAGGAATTATGACAATTTAGAATTATATGATATTTTACAGGATGCCCGAACATCGCCAACTGTATCACCACTGTGTGTACGAGTCTATCGGATATCACGTGTGCTGAGTGCCAGAAGATATTGTACAAACTTTACAATTCCGACAAAGAGTGTGCAAGTAATTACGATAATAATTGATTTCATTTTGTGCATTTATAAATAGCAATAAGGTATAGTCAAGCATTTATCGAGTGTGTTAAAAAGGTACCTCTTGTATATCTATACGTACATTAAAAGCTGATTTTCAAATATCAGAGAATAAGATCATTTGCATACGGGACTATATGGGATTTTATTAACACATAAATGGTATTGTACATGCCCTTTTATATTATTCACACATCTAACATAATTGAAATCATGCTTTCATACTTGTTAGGTTATGTAGTCGATGTCCGACAACAGATACCATTACTTTTTCAAATAAAAAACTATTGATCTTTTATCCTAAGGAACTTGTTCATGGGAGGATCGGTGGTGCTGGCCCGGATCCTGTGGCAGTGACAATTACGCCAGGGATTGTAGATGTGACTCCGAGTCGTTCACTACGGTGTTTGATGACAGCCAGGCCCGGTGTCAACGTAAGAAAAAAAGATAAAATTGTGTTGTCTATCTTATAAATTTACATCAATAACTTGCCAGCGAAGAAGGATGTACTTTCTCATAATGCTGTAAGGTTTTAATGATTTAGTTTGGTATTGAATAACTGAAAAACAAACAAATATACTCAAAAGTACTTACTCGGTAGTAAAATTATTTAAAATCAAATAGAAAATAAGACTTTCACGCAAATTCAATAATAGTTAATGGAAAAATGAGCAAGTTATATATAAATTTGCCCTTGGAATATATTAGAAGAAGCAGCGAACATAAATCAAATATAGCAAATATACCATAAAGAAATATCGTGGTAATTTTGACATGCATATGTTCAGAAGAAATGACGCCATAATAAGTAGAATGACACCAACAAAATCAAGAAGGCTAGTCCAAGTGTCCGACAAGGGAAGATGTTTCTTCTGCACTTGTTTCCTTGTTAAATGAATGAAAAGTGAACTACAAATACCACAGTTGAGCTATTGGCGGGTTAATAACATCACATTGTTAGTACCAACTGTCGCCAATATGGCTGATTGTGAAAAAAAAATTATGATTTGGCGTTAAAAAAAAAACACTTTTCTCATCAGAATGCCTACTGGTTTTTTGAATATACATATATATATTTACATGCCTCTAATGCAGGTAAAAACTGTCCAATTGATAAATTCATGTCACATTATTGTTACTTTGAAAATAAGACTCACATTACATGTATGTGTGATCAAAATAGACGAATGTGACCAATATTTATTTTTCATTTTTAGTTACCAAAGCTCCAGAGGTTATAACCTGTAGAATGCAGGTGGTTGACGCTAACAGCGATGCTCTGATGTCCCCAGTCCCACCAAATGTACCTACACATTGTTCCAACCAAAAGGACTTCTACGGAAACATCCAAGTCGACCGAATAATTACCAATTCTTCCTTTGAATTATCAGTCAACGTTTCTCTCGTACCGAAACCTGAATACGTCACAAACCATGCGTTTGGTGTGACTGATGTCAATATAGCCATTGTAATAAAACCAATTCTGGGTAAGTCTATATCTATATTTATTTCACACATGTTACATTCAGATGTTGGTATGCACTTTTTGACATTTTAAGTTTGAGTGTATCATGATAATTACAGTATAACTGAAATTAATAAAGGCTAAGTATGTTTTGAACACAAACAGGAGTTGAAAACTTATTGTGCGAGCTCTCGAAAACATCTGTTTCCTTTGTCAAGTCAAGAGTGTAAATGACTGGTGTTTCGACTATACACCGCTGTAAACATCTCACTAATCCACAGTGTGCTGAATCAGTAAAGTCAGCTAACAAAACTCAGAGAGATTTCGCCCAATTAGAGTCCCTTCAGTCAGGGGGACGGGTAACATGTTTACTGGATGTTTAAATGGGGTTATTAAGATGAATCAGTCATTTGTCTCTGTTCACAGACTCCCCCTTCCTCCTAACCAATATACTTGAAACACGTTTAACTGGTATCGACTACTTTAAGTATAGTTACCGCTCATAATGAATTTCAGTAAAAAAATATAAAAATAATGTTTAAACATTAGCAAATCAATGGTAAATCGTACTAAGTAGAGTTGATTTTGGATGTAGATGATGAATATTGACATGTGAATATGTTTATTATAATGAGTAATATACGGTAGATTTTTTACCAGAAAGATATATATTTTGAAGGCAGTCAATTAAAAAAACATTTTTTTAATTTTTTATTGTTGTATAAGTACCTTATACAACAATAAAAAATAAAAATGTGTGAGTACTTGTTTGTGTAGATTTTTTCTTCTCTTAATTCTATTTATGTCATGACTGACGTAATAGCGATTTATTCAGTAGTTAAACAACACAACTTGACGAGCTGTTATGACAACGATCTATCATGTTGATGATACACATTTCGTCTATGCGTTAAAACCAAAATATCTACCGGCTGGTACATCCGTGATAAATTAAATTCCCATTGGCTGGGTTCATATTGCCCCTAATCTTCCATAAGTTCAATGTTTGTTTTAGACATTTTTACACTGTTGATGGTATCATTCTATAGATAAAATGCACAAGCTTTTCATACATAATTTTTTGTTAAACATTGTACATGGTGAGTATAATTTTCATTATTTGAGGAGTAAATAACATCAAAACATGTGCTGATCTACTCATTCGCAAAAATATTATAGCTAGCCAGATAAGAATATTCTGTATTTTCAAATAGATTTATTATATATAGGTCTTTATATATTTTTGTACAAACTTTCATGGAGAGCAATCACCAAGGTATATTTAAGGAGGGTATGGTCTCCTATAACATTTTACTGCAATTCGGGGCACGGTATCTTTGGTGCATTTTGTGGAGTATTTCGTTGTTAAGTAACGTCCGTTCTTTTTAACAGGAACTGAAAACATAGTGAAGAATATTAGTCTCCATAGTGACCCTAACAGCAACAATCCGAAACAACTGCTGTCATTTGACAAAGTTATTGGTAATAACAGTCCACCAAGACATTTGTCGAATGGAGAAAGGTAAAAGATTCTCATAAAAAAAATATATGCATGGTCATTTTGGTGTAAACATATCTGCTATGGTTGATGGTTGAGCACAATTTCAAGTAATATATTGAATCATTCGATGATTCAATGATTTTTTTTAAAATGTTTTGATTTGTAAGTATTTCTGAAAGTTGCTTAAAGCATTTGTTGTACGATTACAGTATATTTCAATGATAATCTGGCATACACTTATGTAATTGCTCATGTTTATAACAATTCGTTTCAGAATATGCTTACGATTTCTTTCAAGAGGCGGTGGCCATCTTGTCTCAAAAAATATCATCACACGTAAAGAAACCGAAGTTGCTTTCTTAAAGACGTTTACCGTAAAAGACTTGTGTTATCATTATGACAACGCTCACCCTGTACATTGCCTCGAGCAGCATATATGTACCAGTGGACTGCTAGATATTGATAGCCGTATCCTTATCACTCCAAGTTTCCAGGTAAACGTATCTGGATGGGAAGATCCGTCCCCTGTCTCCGGAAACACTGAATATGCTTCCGGTATAGATACGTACATGACCAACGTTTATGAGGTAAAGCAAGCAGAGCCAGGCTGGCTAGATGTCGGAAGAGATCCTATTGTCATATCGCCAATAAAAGCAAGCCAACCTATCAGAATCATCATTCCAGAAGACCGACCTAATCCTGCCTTATACGCAGTTGTGTTAGAGGTCAAGGACGTTGCCAATAATGTCAAACAAGCCAGGCGCTTTGTTATGCTTGATAATTCTTCAATGGTTTTCGCAAGAGATGACAAACCCTTTTACTCCACAACAACAACGACTAACACTGCTCACAAGTGGCAAACTAATCATGGAGCCCTCTGCTATTCTTGGACTGACAGGTATTACAACGATAAATTTAAGGATCTGAATCTGTTACAGCCAATAAAACCAGACTACCACGGTCACATCACTGGTATATATGAACAGATATCTGGACTTCTTCCCGTTTCTGGAACGGAAAATGTGCATGGAATAACTGTTTTCTACTTTTCGTTTGCTAATGATACAAAAACAATTCATACAAAAGAAAAAGTTCCAAATTTCACATCACAGAAAATATGTTTGTCCCCGACCGTGAATGATGGAGAGACCTATCGTTTTGATGTCGAGGCACAGGACATAATGAAGCACAGCTATTCTGAATATTTATACACACACATTGACTCTAGCAGACCCAAAATATTCGACATAGGACTAACAAAAGACGGTTATAAGCTTTTAAACGTCCATAACAGTTCGGATCTCTCCAAAATGGTTTTGGAGTTTAATGCACTGGACATACATAGCGGTTTGTACTCTGCTGATTGGTCTCTTGGCACCTCTTTAGGAGGGAGCGATATTGGGAATGGATCGGTTGGAGTGAGTCGCCTTGCACTAAATGTAAGTATACAGATGTACATTTGTATGCTCCACAATCTCTGAATACCCATATATAGACAGGCCGAACAGGAGTTCTGTTTCAACGATATCATCAATGTATATTGTATCTTGCTTTCTCTATATCAACTTGAACTAAATAAGGGGGATATCAAACTAATGATAGGAAGAGTTGTATATCAATATAACGGTTTAACTTTTATCTTTTTAATAGGAATCCTGTCCAGAACACTCGAACTGCTACTGTCCTTCCGTCGGTCCTTGTGCTCACTTCAACTTTACTTTGAGGCTTAATTCACTTGTTAACCTTAATACTCACGTTGGAAATCACAACCGTGGGTACCATTTCACGATTACAGTGACAAACGAAGCAAGACTGGTTATGGTAGAGCACATGGAGGTGTTGACCGACGACTCACCGCCGGCCACTGGAGTTGTCAGAGAAGGGCCAGCCGGAGGACTGGACATCGATTACACTAGTAAGGAGTCATTTGTTGCACACTGGGATGGATATATTGATCACGAGAGTGGTGTTCGTTTATACAGAGTAGGCTTGACAAGATCATGTTTGGAACAAGACACGTTTAGTGGTACAAAAGTAAGTGGCGGTGTATACAAAGACAATGAAACTGCGATAATCGAGACTACATTTAAGTTTGCCCGGTTTACACTGCCAGAGGAAGGCCAATACTTTGTCTCTGTAGTGGCGTACAATAATGCTATGCAACCTTCATATCCTGTCTGTTCGGACGGCATTTTGTTGGACAAGACTCCCCCTGCGGTAGTCAACGTTACCATGCGGAGTGCATCTGTCATTGAAAAGGTGATGTGTTCTAATGAAACAGCATGGTACATATCAAATAATTTGACGCGATATAGAGTGAACGATGACATGTGTGACGAAATGTGTAGAAATACTTCCGTGAACAAATTTATATCTATATTACCCGAAGATTCTTCACACGTATCAAACCACTCAATAGCCTGCAAGATTGTTGACAAACTTGGGATTATCTACCTTCCAATTGACCTCATTCACCTCCACTGGAATGTTATTGAAGCGGAAAGCCAGGTTCATGAGGTTTATGTAGGTATCGGTTCAACAAAAGACAGCGGTTCAGCTCCAGATCTGGTAGACTTCCACAAATCTCCTCATAAGTATTCCTACAAGAAGAGACACATTGGCCTGAGTGACGGGGATGAGATTTATATTTTCCTTAAAATCACAAACAGTGCTGGCCTTTCTTCCGTGTCCTCCATCGGTCCAGTTCTTGTAGATGAGACCCCACCTATCTGTCCTCCATCTCTTCCTGTCAGTATAGAAAATGGTTCTCTGTACACCTACTGGGATGAGGGAACATTTTATGACAACGAACAGAAGGAACCGATGACTACATTTTTATACCGAGTTGGTAAGGAAACACTAAAATATTTCGGAAATACTATCTGTAAAACATTATTGTTCAAAGTGTTGAATAGTGTATTATAATTGATTTTTAAGACAAGCATAAACATATTATGCCTAAACAGCAAAAGATATATTGTTTATCATTTTGCTCTCCTGTCCACATCCTGACAATTGCAGGTATTTTGTTTCACTTTTGTTCTTTTTTTATTTAGGTCAGGAAGACGTCTACGTATCAGCGTTCCAGCCAATGGGTGTTCCAGGCACTGCAAATTGTGTTACAAAGGAGAAGATTTGTTTGACTATTCCACTTTCGGATTTACATGTGTATGACGCTGACATAAAACTCACTTTCAACATCCAGCTTCACGTGTTTAACAATGCAGGTTACCACTGTACGGTGGACACTGACACATTTCATTTACCGTCTAGGATTCCTCCAGGACACGGGGTCCTGTATGACGTCACACATGACCTCAGTGTGAAAAATATGCAAGATATCGACGTTTTAATATCGTCAAAAGAGTTCTGCGTCACGTGGCAAGGATTTGAACACAATGATGACATCGCATTCGAGGTTGGTATTGGAAGAATACCGGGATCAGATGATACTACATCATTTCATGATATCCCAGAAGTAGATGTCTACTGTGAAAATGCGAAAATCCTCTCATATTACCATCGGTACTTTGTGACGGTACGTGCGTTTACCTCCGGAGGGACAGCGGTAGCAACATCGGATGGATTCACAATTATAAATTCCTCAGACATAACAGCTTCACTGCGTGTGTATGATGGATACGGTTGTTCTAGTGTCTCACGAGCTTTTCCTGTACAACAGGTCGGAACAAGCAATATATATGCACCTAGCAAAACGGACCTGCATGTCGGTCATGTGTACACACTGGAATCTAACACGAGTATAACAGTCGAAAGTAATGACGTCATCCTTAGAACATATCGGACAATCGATTCGCTTCACTACTATCAGTTTATTCCACTAAACTCGAAACCACAATTTACAATCAGGTCTGAGCTTGACCATATCTTCGGCTTGAGTGTCTTGAACTGTATTCCAGATGTTGACAGTCACTTTGTGTTCGAGACTGTATCCCTGCACTGGAGCATAGGCATATTGAATCGGTACATATCCCATTACGAAGTGGAACTTTTGTCACTATCGCACGAACCTTCAGCTGAGCAATCCAGTCCTCCGGTAATCATTGCGTATACGAAAGTGTCGGGACAGTCGATGACCAGCACCTTTGATGACACAAGATTAGTCAATGGTCGTTATTCGGTTATTTTGAGACCTTGCGTAGAATACCGATGTCTTGATTCAGTAAGAACAGATGGTTTTGTCGTTATTGACCAGGAGTATGACAGTTTTTACGTATCATCCTCCCTTCATAAAACTTCACATGTTTGTTCCGATATAAGCCTGAGTGTAACCGACATAACCTGTCCAATCGGTCCATCTGACGTCACATCCGGTGGTGTTGGGCTACGTTGGGGACTTTTTCGGGATAATGCCGCGAGGATACAGTTGACTGGGTGGAATTCACACATCCTCAGGAATACAAATAGAACTGATGTGTTGGTAAGTACAACAAATAATTCATGGATACAGTTGAGCCTCGGTATCCAAAGATCCTTATTTCTTACAATCAAATGCCACTTTTACTCTTTTTTTATCTTGCAAAAATGGTTGCTCATTGAATGTTGAACTGTTGATAATTATTTCACATTTTACGTTTTCATATGCAACACTTAAAGTGTTCAAATTCCACAATTATGCATGGACATGTATTGCTATTTTGGTTTTTATATTTTCAATACTTAACGGATAAAACCTCAATGATTTGTTCGTTTTGATAAAATTCATGTATAGCTTTGCAAAAGGGCTTTTATCTTCTTTTGTTACTTCAACATTCCAAAATTCCAATATTTGTACTGTACATGTATTACAAGATTTATGGTGTTTTGTAGCGAAGAAAGATCATGTAATATAATGATATATAAAAGGATTGGTTTAGTAAGGTTTGGTTTAGTATTGTTTTACGTCCTATCAACAGCTATGATCATTTAAGGACGGTCATATTACAATAGAAAATATGGGTGGCGATTGTGATAGGTATATCAATCAGTTTAGTTAGGGCCTCATCAACAGATTAATATGTATATATATATAAGATTGGACGGCATATGTACAAATCATATCGGTTATGTGTTAAAACACTTAAAATTCCCGTTTCCATTTGTTTCATTAACATGGAATTTAATGTAAGATTGTATCGGTACATCACGCGTCAATTTTTCTTTTCAGCTGTCAAAATGCTTACCGATACCCCTATATCCACATGCGCACCTGTTCACTTGTGTAGAGGTATACTGTCCTTTGGGATCCAGAGGTGTCAAGTGCGTTCCACTCATAGTAACAGAGGACCCTAATATGTTCCGGAAATTCCAAATCTATGAGATAGACGCTGATGCGGACGACGTTAGAAACAACAAGGATTCATTCTATGCTGCAAACATCGGTGACAAAATGTCCTGGTTACACGAAGCCGAGCTCGACTTCACTGCCGAACCTGTTCGTCCAGGTGGGGTTATCCTGGGAATGGGCGATCAGCCAATCACGTGGTTCCTTGTTAGGGATTCAAATAGTCTCAATCAGTCGTGTGAAGAAAATCCAAATTGTGTTGCAATTGTGCAAACATTCGGAGGGTTTTCCGCTTTCCGTGGCGTCAATCTTGAAAATGGGATAATGTACTTTATATGTGCAGACATAAGTGATATCACTGGGAATAATAGAGATGAAATGCCTTCATTTCAAACGTGCGGAAATGGGTTTTTCGTAGATATAAATCCGCCTTCTACTGGTGACGTCACTATAACATCCGAGAGAGACTACATCATAGATCAATCAAGCCTTGTGGTACACTGGGACGGATTCAAGGATTTCCTTGGATATAAAACTTTAGGATATCCATTTACTTTAGCATCGTTTACGTATTGTATAGGTCAGTATTTACTAATCGCTTTGACAAATCAAAGGCAATACAAAACTGTATTTCAAATGAAGATGGTACACTGTAGATAGTGATTAATTAACTTAATTGGGATATATTCCTTGAAGTACAATGGATTGTGTATATATCATTCTGTGTTATCTACCTCGATAGTATATCCCTTTTCCCTTATAATCAAATAACGATTACTTATACTTGTTGTTTTAATTACAAAGGAAGTGAACCATTAGGACAAGACCTGGTGGCAAAAACCAACGTCGGCTTGTACCAGTCCATTATAATTCATAACCCAGCACTCCGACCAGGAGAAATGTATTACGCAACAGTTACAGGTAAGTTTATACATAACCTGTCACTTCGCCCTGGAGAGATATACTAAGCAACAGTATATATAACGTTTAGAGGTAAATATTTACATTGTACAATACAATGTCAAGGGGAGAATATATGCCAGTCACATCTTCCATCAGAAACTAGCAGCTCAATAAAATTAGATACACTATGATATAGTCATAGTTTTTTGTTCTCTTCAATATGTTCTAGCGTTTGACCACGTGGGACATTCAACGTCTGCCGTTTCAAAAGGTGTAATTTTTGACAGTACTCCACCCGTGATTGAATTCGTGCAAGTTGGAACCTATTTGAAACCAAAAGCTATTGTCACAGCAGAAATCAGCATCCATTTGATCGGTTGCCATGATGATGAAAGTGGAATTTCTCAAACTCTACTAGGTATTGGATCGACAGAACACGTACCCGACATCATAGACTATCAGGGGTTTACAGGAGAGTTTGCTTCTCTGTCTAACCTCACGGCATTATACGATGGTCATCAATACTATGCTGTTATTCTTGTAAGTATTTATCACTGGAAGAATTGGTTTTGTCCGTTTGAAGGGGAAACATTTTATATTGAAATGCAGTATCGGCAATAAACAATGGTTTAAAATAGATACTTCATTCTCATATAAAAAACATCTCTTTTTTATGATTCAAACTGCACATATTTTGGACCATTTTGTAAACCGTTACTGCATAAAGAAGAAAGTTTCCTTTCACCGAATCAAATTTTCGTTTTAACCCATTCACCCAGTGTTCATTTCGCCCTTTACATTTGCTTGATATGTTTCGTATGTTATTTACNAAACCCCCCCCCCCCCCCTCCCCTCATTATGGAGGGCGAAAAAGGCAGAGGTTTAACTGTGGCTAAAATGTATCGGTATCACTTTGACACCACGACAACGTCTTATGAATGTTTTATACACTAAACTATTGTGTCAAAGGTTACAAACGGAGCAGGACTGTCTTCAGTGGCGGCTTCAGACGCATTTGTCATAGACCGGTCTTCACCAACAGATGGCGTTGTACGGGATGGTCTTTTAAATGTGAGTCTATCTAAATGTTCATAAATATGTATTCAATACATCAACACAGATGAATTAATATGTACATACTATTATCACGTTGTTTAATCTAATCAGTGTCGGCAACCATTTTAAATGTATGAGTGTTATTTTGTTGTTAAGAAATTAAATGCTTCCAATTGTGATAGGCTGTCAAGTATAATACTATTAACGATTGTGTTGATTGCCTGTCGATTATGATTAATACAACAATTGGTTTTTGAACACATGTTGATAGAATGCACGGATTGTACCATTTGACAAACTACCCAATCATCGAAGAAATAACATAAGTGATAAATGCGCAAATATGTATGATAACTATTCATTTTCATTGTGAAAAAGAATATGTTGTGTATATTTCTATATTCAGTTTGATATTAACTTCCAACCAAACACGACTCACGGTGGTTGTAACTGGTCAGGCTTTAGTGATCCGCACTCGGGGATCAGGTACTACTCGGCAGGGTTGTCAACTATGCCACTCGGAGATGACGTCAGACCTATGTCATTCACTGGAACTAGAACAGGTAAATCGTTATCGAACATAAGTATTGATGCGTAATGTCGATAATAATTGGATGTGTTGTGATAGTTGGAATGAGAAATACACCACTCCATAGCAACGAGCATTCAATATCTTACACTGTATTTGCTAATGTATCTCATTAATGTTTTATAAATACATTGTCCAATATTATACACAGTGTCATAAAGGATTTTTTTATCCAAATGTCTTAAAAGAGACTCTTCTCTCGATTGTAGTTCAACATGTTGTGGGACAAAGCCCCTAAGACTGAATGACAAAATAAACTTATCTCAGATTTTATAAAAAGCTTCTCAAAGAAACACCGGAGAGGTGTCGATTTATCAAATGGGTCAAGATATATCGTACATATGAAGTTGAACTGAACATTTATATTTGCATTTTTTTTTAATTTTTTTTTTTTGTATTTTGCTTTTGTTATTGCTGTGTATTTATAATATCTATTCGACCATTACAGAATCTAACTCTCTGCATACACTTTCCCCTAAATGTTTTACTTATATAAAATAGCTCAATGTGAAACAAATATATTTTTTAAGAATTTCAGTGGACATATAGCTGTGTACCTGGGACTACTTACTACTGTACGGTACGAGCTTGTAACGGAGCTGGACTATGTACGTCTGTATCATCTAACGGTTTTACAACAGACTATTCTCCGCCAACACCGGGAATTGTCCATGTTGGTTTTGACGGTCATCACTCCAGATACTGGGCGCATGCGTAAGTGATGAACAGTTTTATCACATAACACATCCTTAGAAATAGGGGATTAAAAAACTATAATCGAATTGTTTGGTTTTGGCTTGCACACCATGTATGTTGCAATTAATATTACATTCATGAGATGGTGACAGTGTCTCAGGATTCCCGCTAATTCATGTAGAGGCGTAAAATACAAAATGGAAAAAAAATCAAGTTTTATCTTAAATATCTGAGGTACTGCAAACGAACAAAAGTTAACGGTATTTTTATTTTAATGGTTGTTTGGGTTTTAAACAATGCGCTTTAATATGAATGCTCTTTTTGAAGCTTTTATGTATTATTTCCAATTGCATATATTGAAAGCGTGCTCATTCATGCATTTGCTAATTTGATAAAATTGATTAAACGCTACGATTTGTGCCGGCTAAAATAAGTATTATTATACATTTGTATTGGAAAAGCTTGCTTTAACGAGTGAAGGAGGACGTAGGTGTTTCCTATATATACTCACAGAAACGTTAAATGGTCTCACCATACAGTAATAATGACTTCGGCTGATTCTTCAGATTAAAACGGGACATAATGTGACAAATATTGCACGCGCATCAATAATGATAACCATTTGTAAACAGATGTGTTGCCTTCTGCTTCACTGTTTTATTTTTATATCAACATGGTATTTTTTTTTAAATCATGTGACCTTATAAACGTATTTGGCAGTCATGTGATTGCGATAGCATGTGCAACTTGATTAAACGTTACCAAGATATAACTGATGCATAATATCTAATATTCATGCGCATGCGTCATACACAGTTCTTTCAGATGCAATTTTCGGAAATTGTATAGTAGACATATTGAATTGTTCAACTAGCATAAAGACAAAAATTATTGATATATTTGAGCATTAAATGCATTTAGTTAACATTAACATTTTTTGCATTATTTTGTTCGTTTATCCGGATGGCATTTATAATCTCCAGGAAGTCCATATGAATACAGCTAAATGCTGCAGTATTTTTTGTTTATATTTTAGAAACTCAATTCAAGTTCAGTGGTTTGGATTCGTTGATGCAGAATCTGGCATAATGAACTACGAAGTCTGCGTTAGACACACCGACAACAGCAACTGTGATATTGTACCGTTTACAAACGTGTTTATGTCCAACATGATGACGAACCCGGTCAATCTGCCACAGAAAGTGCCGCTGACTGTTGAGGTCAAGGCCTACAACACCCTCAACATGTCTGTCAAGATTGTTTCGGATAGTTTTATTGTCGACCCTACGCCTCCTATCCTGATGACTGCTCCTGTTCTAGGAGCGGGAAACGGTGAAAATGATCCACAAGTTATTGTACAGTCGGACCCATCTCTTGTAACGCTGACATGGAAATTCAAAGACGATGAAAGTCCTATTATAAAACATATCGTTTCTGTAAAAACACACCATGACGGACATACACCTGTCGAAAACGTATATTTGTCGACGGAAAGTAGTCACATATTTACTCTCGAACCTCGCGACTGGTTGAGACCTGGTGATTCCTACACAGCTATCGTGACCGCATGTAATGAAGCGGGACTTTGTACATCGGCAACCTCCAACGATTTGCTTGTTGATCCGACCCCTCCTCATCGTGGAGGATTCGAAGAACCCCTGACATGGCACATGTCTTCAGACTCAAACGAAACTGTGTCGTTCATTAATCTGACCTTGCACGGATTCAAGGATACAGAATCAGGAATCAAGACTTACTACGTCACGGTAGGCGACTCCTACAGTGGATCAGAAATAAGTAACGGATTGATTACCTTCCCGCCGTCAGGATTAAACGGTGAATTGGAATTAGTCCAGCTGATTCTGACCGAACACCTGCAATCGGGACGACAGCTGATATTTTCGGTCTGGGTAGAGAATAACGCTGGTCTATTTAGTGACACTGGCAAAGTGACTGTCACTGTAATAGCGTCCGACAGTAAGATCACTTACGGGTATTTGGAAATTCTAAAACATTCTTGCGACGCAGAATATTGCAATAGGGATTGCACGTGCGCCGTTATAACACAAAAGTGCCACACAATCGATGTAGATACCGATTGCAAAGAAGAAAATAAAACGGACGATTATGACTTAAGAATCCATGTCCATCACGGAGGCAAAAACAAACAACGAGAAGCTTTATCGGCGACTTCCGCCTGTATTTCTGCCAATTGGACAGTAACTGGAACACGGGGACAGGGCATCAAACGAACAGAGTGGAGCATGGGACAGCTAGACATGCCAATAGGAACTGGAATATTTGATCCTTTACTGGAAAATCTGTGGTATGATATAGGACAAAGGACATGGGTGACACATTGCTTGCAAGGAGCAAACCACCTACTGCACGACACGAGTTATGTAGTGTACATCAGAGCGTGGACATCTACGTCAGACTTTACTGTCTTTACTTCAGCTGCGGTACACATAGATACTACGCATCCGTCTGTAAGGAAAGGGCAATACATCAGAGAAAATTTAAACGAATCGTGTGACCACGACATTGATTTTACAACAACCTTGGACACGCTTACCGCGTGCTGGTCGGGTGTGTTTAGCGACCCGCAGAGTGGTATTGATATGTACTTTGTCGCGCTAGGGACTATTCCAGGAGGTTAGTACTTCATATTTAAATCGATAGAAACAAATCTTATAGTATGTAGTTAACCTTCAATTTAGAGCTAATGATACATCGTAGATGAATACACTCTAAATAATATAGGTAAATCTGGATCCAATTGAATTTAGATAACATCGATAAGTATTCAAGATGCTCCCAAAAATATTTCAGCATTTGTTATTTTTGTCTGGTTTTCTTTTTCAGGTGACGATGTCATATCCATAAGCAAAGTTGGGCAGAACACCTCGACGTCATGGGTTAATTTAACGCTTTCTCCTGGTACAAAGTATTACGTTAGTGTGACGTGTATAAACCACGTGGGGATCCATACAACGATTGTATCTGACGGCGTTTTGGTTGACAACGAACGTCCCCATGCCGGCGTTGTCTTTAACACTGACAGCTTCCGTAACGGTCATGCGCAAAACACTAGAGATGTCGGAGCCTCGTTCTGGGGTTTTGACGACAGACATTCTGCCATTGAGTCTTTTTATATCGCTTTACAGATATCAAATGGAGATTTTACGACGGATAATATTTCCCTTAAATTCCAACATATAGGTTTAAGAAACACATTCACATTTTATAACACTTCTCTAGTAACAGGACAGTGGTATAGGTTTGCCGTAAAAGCTCGAGACGCTGCAGGATTCGAAAGCGATCTTGTGTATTCGCCTCGAGCTTTGTTCGACTCGACACCACCAGTTCATATTGATATCACAACGGTTTCTGTGACAGAAAAAGTGGCTTCAACTAACGGAACTTTGTATTGGATGAAGGAACTGGACGATGTGACAGGACCAACTGTATATAGACTGTATATTTCGTCTGCGAATATTACTTCCTCCAATCTTTTCGAAGTTTCGTTTGAAAACCAAAAGCAACTCCATTCCGTAATAATGGAGACCATTGGAACATACACAGTCGCCATTTCTTTCACCAGCTCGCCGTTCTACAAAGGTAACCGTTCAATATCAGTTCTTGCGCATGATATGCCTATATACGCTGAAATTGATCTCACCTTATTAACCTCAGATGACGTCACAGTGACAGGTCAGACGAACAATGTGATCGATGTACAACAGGTCTCTACTACGGAACTCCAGATCAACGGCAATATTATAGACGCTGAAAGTGGAATCAGGGACATCTATGTTGGTCTGGGATCTAATCGAGGTGGATTCCAAATGTATCCTCTTTTACATGTGTCGTCGTCTTACAATATCCTACTTCCGGTAGAGGCGCCTCATGGGCAACCAGTGCACGTAACTATAACTACTGTGAGTCAAGCCGGATGTTGGAGTCACTTTCACTCACGTCCTGTCATAATGGATCACACAGCACCAATCATATCAAACACGTTGATGACTACAACTTTTAGTGTAGATGAAGTTCAAACGCTGACAAGTGTCAAGGTCACATGGAAGGTCACGGATGAACAAAGTTCTTATATCGATTGCTTCTGTGAGATAGGTAAGTACACATTTTCCTTTACCTTGACCTTCGTATTAAAAGTTTGATTAGATCTAGACTTTAAGGAAAATATCTAATAAAATATTAATGTAATCCGTTGTTCATTTTGAAGCAATATTTCACTGTTAAGCTTATTGAAGGCAACTGATGATGTGTCTTTGAAAACAATGTTACAGGAACAAACATGATGAGCGGGATACTGTACCGTGGTAAAGGCAAGAGCGAGTGTGAAACTCCCTATACGTATATACAACATGGGACTAATGTATTTACACGTATACGATGTTTGAATAGCGCCAATCTACAACAGTCAACCTTGGTTGGTCCCAAAACTGTCATTCTTAGCGCACCGAATGTCGCCAAGGTGAGAATTGCATTTGATACCGCTTATGATACAGCTTTCGGTCTTCCGGTGATACCGTCCTCGTCGAAGTTAACGTTCTCTTGGGAAAATTTTGACGATTCTTACGGAATCAAGAGTTATTCGTACAGAATCTATCGAGGCACTCAGGGTTTAACGGAGTGGGAAAAGACTGACTTGCGCAATTATGCTTCGTTGGACCATACAGGCAAACATGACGACGGTATCTACACTGTAGAAGTGAAAGCATGTGCCTATGACGGGTTGTTCTGTCAAGTTGTAAACGGATCGGTTTTGATTTCGGGGATTTCGCCAAGCCTAACAGGTGCGTCATTGTATTCAAACATAATAATTACGGAAGCAAATATATATTGACGCATTAAATGATACAATATAGACCATGCGTTATCTAAACAAAATTTAAAATATTCACAATTTTGCTTTTCTTATTTTCATATATGCAACCTTATTCCGTATCGCTAATTCCCACGTGTAATTATTTAGATGTTCGAGTTTTCTCATAAACTGTGTAACATTTCAACTTTTTCTAACAGTTAAAAGAGATACCTTTTCGGAAAGTTATATTTTGAAAAGTAAACATCATAACAGTATGATCACTTCCAGGGCTTCCTGCGGCAGTCACTAGACAAGATGCTGGCCTGGAGCTGGTATGGGACGATGCATTTACGATACAACCATCATTACTTCCCCGATATACAGTCACGGTCGGTTCTGAGAGAGGTTTTGTGGACCTAGTACGTTTTGTGGAGACTACAGAGCAACGCCATGTTATAATCGATTATTTCAGCGGAAGTGACGTATTCGTCGTTATCAAGTGTTCCTATGTAACAGGATTATTTACTACATTCAGCGGAAAGTTGCCCGTGTTTTGAAGTTTATTGTTGATTTTTGTATACTGAAACATTTATAATCAGGACAATATGTAGAAAATACCATAAACTGATTCGGAAAAGTCATTTAACATAAGAATTAGTGTGTTTTAGTCTATCAATTTATGCTTAGAACAATATTAAGTTCAATGTTGTTCGTAGTGCTTGCTTTTGAATATAACACTTAAACATTATATACTTGCGAATTTATTTATTCGTACATTTTACATTCATTTTCTAATACCGGAGTTGTAATTGAAAGGAATGAAATGCAATCTCGGGAACATGCATATTTTAAAAATACATACTGTTTTGATGTTGGCATAGTTAAACTTATACTAAAGTTTTCAACGTTAAGTCAATAACACACACCAGGACCGACGACCCGCTTACATCAATCGAATTGCTTTTTTATCATATATTATTTTTTGTTCACAAACTATACTACCTTTACCTTGTAATTGTATTTTCTAATGCTATTGTCAAAACTCTTTTGCTTTCGTTACGATTTGTTCATAGATTTGCTTATATTATTATTAAAGTGTGAACTAGCTCTCAATTCGAATCAAGTGCCGTGGATTATTACTACTTGTTATAGCCTTTCCTGCTTTTGGCGTAGTATATGTCGATGGACATGTATATTGTAAAAAAATATAATAGGAAAACGTTAAAGGTATTCCCTCTATAGTTCGTATTCTGTAATTACATTTGCATGAGTGTACACATATGTACATTTCTTAATTACTAGAATACATAAATAAACACTGGCACACATTTGATTGGTTTCTAGACAACATTTAAATGAAAGAATTACAAGAGGAATATCATTACCACGTCTGTTGCAAAGGGATTTTGCATATACAGCCAAAGAGTGCGTGAGTGGGCCCAGTCCCAGAAAACCTTTATTATCTTTAGAAGTTACACATAAAATTCCTCTCTATCACATTTATTTAAAAACAAAACGTTCGCCAGGATCTTTCAAAATTATAAAGAACCCATGTTTACATATTCAATCGTTGAGATTACGTAACTTTCAGTCTCACTGGTTTATATATCTAAATCATGTTGTAAACGAATGACTCCAGTTGTAATCTGGCCATTTTTAACAAAATTTGTAGTTTTCTTCGAACATGTATCCTGTGTTTATAAGTCTTATTGAAGACCAATCAGTAATTAGGACTAAAGCTTGAACATGTTTTTCCCGAGAGTGCAGAATTCGAGAAAAAAAGATTTGTTGAAGAAACATATGAAGTTCAATCGCAAGAAAACAAATACACCATCGTCTTTTAAGGAACCGAATAGGAGACTAAAACAACTGCATGTGCTCCACTAAAATAACACCAAACACAAATGCATATCTACCAAACTCGCTGGTATGTCCAATTTAATTTATATATAACGTTAATCACAAACATAATGTAACAGCGTGTCCGAATGAGGTATTGCTAAAGTATTATTCAATATACATGCAAATAGGTTCTCTACAGCCTATGAAATAGACAGGGGTTAAAATTCACTATGTAAGTAAACTAGTCGAAACTAGCTCTGTACACTGTCATCGCCCAGGAAAAACCGGAGTTTCCGGAAAAAACGGAGTTTCCGGAAACCTGTGTCCAAAGGCAAGTGCAGAGTGGTCTTGAGTTTAACGCTGAACTTGCGCCAACAGATGAACAGTATTTACAGGTAGACTATATATATATATAAAGGATACCTGTATGATAACTAATAACGAAAAGCATTTGATTGTTATATATTGAGAGTTAAATACTTTCGAAATGCTTTGTGAAAACAAATGACTATCTAAAAGGAACATGAAAGGGTTTATGTGACCATTGCTTCGAAAGAATGACAGCTAGAAAACCAAACTTCCTCTCCTCGATGCTGGCTACCAGAGAGGCCACAGTCGTAAATGGTTTCGGAGGTATAGCTTATATACCATTCCAGATAATCCACAGGTCCTCGTGATGTCTTGTAACAGACGGACATAGAAAGTACACAGCACTGAAGAAGCTGGTGTATAGCAGAATAGCACACTCGCTACCATCGGTGTTCTAGGCAGACATAGTAGACCCCCTCCAACACATCCGACTCTTCGTATCCTAAATTCTAAAATAGAAACAGGTGCCTGTTAATAGAGAACAGAATACTATAATATACACATTTAGACAAATTTTTTTTAGATTAAAGAGTTAATATTCAAGCGACTATATAGAGACACGATATACAAACAGTTACAGCAGTTACATATACATTAACCGTAACCATCGGAAGATAGCCACAAATCTTAAAAGCGTTAGTGATAATGACATATATTTGCCCTTTTGGTGATTGTTTAGCCTGTATGTAGAACTACGTATATACTAATCGGTATTCGATAGGCAATATCCTATTGAACGAAAGTAATATTGACTGTGTCAAGAAAAAGTATTGGAGACGAATATTTACCATACTATTGTTATTACAAGGTCGCTTGGTAGGAATAGTGAGTAAATCAACTGGTGCGGAGTTATCAGACATCCGTTATGACCGTCCCTCATACCCATCCTACCAATACAAACATTTGGATTTTTGGCTACATTAAAGTAGTAATATAAACATTTTGTTTAAAGCGAATTTTCTTCAGATATTGACTTTCATTACTTCTTTTGAAAAAAAAACAGTTTTTGATATACGTTATTGAAAAAATATATCTTTATCTGGAAATATTGAAATAAGCGAATGTTTTTGACATACGCTTTAGCTTTTGAATCGTTTGATTAACGAGTATACTCATTTGTAACAGGCAAAAGAATGCTTGTACATGTTTTCAATTTGTGTGACAACAGGAAGCACCTCGAAGAAAAACATGTCCTTCTGCTCTTACCTTTATCTCTGTATGTCTAAAAACATCCGTTCATATCAGACTCAAGTTTAAAGATATATCGCCCTCTGCTCGGTTCTCCCCTATAGAATAGAGCTACAACATGGGCATTAGCATGATCTTTGCATCCCCTATAGTGTATAGCTACCACAAGGGACTGTAGCAAAATTAACATACAATGAACATATTGAGAGTAAAACACAGAAAGGTACTTTACTGGAACATACAGTAATAGAGCAGTTTACAAATCAAAGTGATACTGAAGACAATATAAAAGGTACTTCGTATCAAAGAATTTATATATGCTTAAACGTTTGCGTATGCTATTCTGTTAAATAAAATCAGAAAAGCAGGACAGGAATTTCACTGCACCCTGTACTCTACATGTAAATGTCCTTCGCATGTAAATATTTTGGTTTTGTGTCCCTGAAAACTGACCGTGGTGTGCCATATTTCTCGTAGGCAACATTTTTTAAATATGTATATTCTATTTAGCTTTTATTTATATCAGCTATACATAAATATTGGCATGTGCATACTGTTTTGCTAATTTGCTCAACGCAACAAAACCGTGAGCATTTCTACATCGCGAAACTTTGAATCAATACAGAAACAAATGTGATTTCCCAACCTCTCAATGTAACAGTTAAAACGAAAATAATAGTTATGCAACGAATTGTCTATTAAAAAAATGTATAATGTATGCTTATGCATAGCAATTGTATTCTATTCTTAATTAACTCTATAACATTTGATAAAATAATCATTTAAGAAAATTAACTTAACTCGAATATAAAGCTATACTCAGATATGATAATAATTATATACAACATTTGATAAAGCGCCCTATCTAGCTAACATAAGCCACTCTAAAGCGCTTCACAGTACATAGATATACAATTAATACAATTAGCATATGTACATTAATCAAAACAATTTTGAGGAATTCACAGGAGCTGCCTTATCAGGGCGCTAACTACTAGTCCTATGCCATCATTTATAGTGCCACCTCACTTGAATGCTACAGCATAGATACCGCAATATCCAAACCAGACCAATTTATACCCCACCTTGGTTGTTGGAGTTTTGTGGACAGGAGAAAAACACTTTCTCTCAATATACATGCGTACGACGTCTTCGGGGATCGAACCGCGGCCGCCTGCGTGGAAGGCTGGAGTGTTAACCACTCGACCAATTACCCCATATACAGAACTGTTCACATTATAATAAACACTTACCTTTACTTGTCTGTCAGTATACGCCCAGTCATGACTTAATACACTGTGGACGCTGTTTTATCTGATACTGACTCCTAATGTCTGATACCCTTAGTATAAATCTGACATTTCGTTCACGTAACTCTCACCAACAATACGTCACATGAGATACATGACCATACTGGTTAAAGGGGTTAGGACATACTTTAACAATACTTTACATGAAGGCATAACGCACAGAACAGGTCACATGACATCCACATGATCAGTAAAAGGACGTACAAAACACATAAAGTAAACACACTAGTATAGCTATGATCAGTATCATCTAATACTGTAATTAAATATATTCAAGAGAATTGGTTTGATTGTCGTCTACACTAGGTCAAGGGCAACTCAACCGATCATTCCACCCAGTCCCGAAATTGTGTTGTATTTGTTGTTTGTTCTTTCAATAGAATGTATTTGACAAAATGCATAATAATGATTTTGTTTATCAGTACCACGTTAACAAAATAAAGAAAATTGAACTGTCGAAAAATGGTTACATAGATAAATTAAAATGAAATATTTACAGCATAATATTTACATTGTAGATATTTTATTACGTATCAGATTAATCAATTGTTGTAAATTTATTTTTTCTTGCATGTAAATGATACCGGATCAAATCTTACCTTCTTTCTCGCATATGAATCCCTGTAAATCGGTACAGGCGTTGTCATTCCATATAGCTGCTACATACATATGCACACAATTTTCGGTACCAGGACCATTAGGTTCACTAGGACCCCAATTTGAGAATGTTAATGTAGAGTTGTCCGAAATCCATCTCCAGTCACCTTTTTTATTGCGGTCATATGCTCCAATCCAAGGATAATCTTTTCAACATATCAAAATCCAAACTGGTGATCATAAAACAACAAGAAATATAACAAACTAATTATTCCGTAATGTATTGATGATTCTTTTTGCTAGAGTATAGAAGACACAATAAATTTTCAACAAGGAATAAAGCAAAATAGTACAATTAGTTATTCTAATTGTAATGGGATATTGACCTGTATAATAGTGTGTGTTTTATGATAATATTTTATACCTGATAATGTTACGAAACCTGTCAACCACGAGTATTCGTCTGCGGTTTCTGTTTTGACGAGGTTGCTGTCTTGGCTCCGACAATCATTCTTAAATGTGAAATATTGTTACAAATAACCTGATTTTCTCCTCTTTGAACAGTTTGATATATCTTGGCCACTTGTGTCGGGGCTAATTGGTTATTTATGCTATGATCATAATGAGGGAAGATACATTTGTATTCCGGTATAGCACCAAACATATTGATGGCATAGCACTGTACTATGGCGGTTAATTTTCTCGGGGTTTTAATTTCACAACATGTTGAACATTCGTATATTTCCAACGCTGTTATGCAAGCTTAAATGAACTCAATTCAGATTATCACCGGACAACTAGGCAGTAAATATGTACTGAATACGAAACCGCGAATTATTGACCCCGCGAATTTAAAGCGCTATACAGTATACATAAATTAACATGTGAATCATATTTCAATTTACTAACAAAACGGTAATGAGCACACCGTATGCAAAAGTCTTATAAACATGTATGTATGTTTGTATTTATGAATCAAACTTAAAACACAAAGAAGTAACGAAAAGTTAAAAATGTTCTGTTGATTAATGTATGTCAAATAATGAAAATAACACTTAGGGGACGCGATACACTAAACCAACTTTACAAAATAATGAAAATGTTCTTTGCAGGAAGGCCAACTAGTTTAACTAGGTTTAAAGGCGCAGTTCCATGTATGTGTGTCGTGTAAGTAAATCTTTATCTAATATCAGTATGGTTGTAATATTTCAAACATACCATACTAAAAACGTAAATCAAAGTTTTGTAACAAACCCTACTACCGTCATATAAATAGAAGTACTGGGCATGAATATTTATTAAGATATTCACACCTGTTATTAAATGTAAATGAAACCATATCCGTAATTATTTTTACCTGAGCATCTTCCCATGATTTTTTTAGGCCTGGAACTGACCAGTAACAGTGGTTTCCATAACCCGTCCACCCATGCTGACACGTGACACTCTGTGATTGTACACCTGTGTAAAATTTAATTATTAAGTATCAACACATATTCTGTGACTTATCTACTGTGCAGTTCAATTCTGACAAATATTTTACTAAGATAAGATAAATCTTTGCTTATATTCATATCAATGAAATAGGGAAATAATATGAATAACATTTATCAGATTACGTTAAGTTTCCAACTGAAAAATAATCATCATGGTGAATGACTAGTTGATTATAATTTGGTATCGCTATTTCATTGGAATACATGACCAATTTTTCTGTTATACACAAAATCAACCCTAAAAGTCGCACAGTAGAACAATCTTTTAACTATTTCCAAGTAAAAATATACTAATATGCCAATTTTTGAATAAGGTACTCTGTAGAAGTGGATTCGTTTAAACTGATTATTAAACTGTTGAACTTCTGAAATAAGGGTAAGACAGGTAACAACGTAAGCACCTAGATACAATACAGGTTACGCAATGTAAATGTAAAATTGTCTATTTCTTAATCTGAAGGGTATCTGACATTAATCATCATACTAAAATGGCAAAGATAAGTACGTTCGAATATTTATTTATTTAAGGCCTTTTATATATATTATCATGAACAAATTAAATTAACGTTTGAATTGAAATACTGTATTTCTCTTATTTGGGATTAAAAACGAAATAATGGTATAAAAATGACACGAAAAGGTACATATGATATTTATTCGTAATGTACAGTTAAGGAAATCCGTTGGTTTGTAACTATATAGAGAAGATAGCTACATGTAGTTTATCTTAAATACGTCAACACAATGCACTTACGTTTAATGTAGTACTGGTATGGATGTGTCTGTGATCATTCCACTTACTGTGTGTAGGGCTGTCTTACCTTAGTCACTGTCCTATGTATAACTAATACTTCTGTTTGTCTCTCTATTTCTTTGTTCAATAATTCGAACTGAGTAATAGGACTGACTTCAGCCTCTATTAAATACAAAATGTACACATTACTATGTATCGCTGCCACATGTAGTCTACATCTCAATTTGTATTTCTGTCTGAAAGCGTCGTACTTACCCCTTGAGTTAATAACCAGACGCAGTAGTAGGGGGAGCAGTCCGAATATAATCAACATCCTGGTCGGAATCACCAGTAACTTCTACAAAAAATAACGATTTTATTCAAATGTACATGTGCATATATTATGTCTTTAAATTAAAATATAAGTGATTTTTATTATGTATGACACTTTGTGAGAAAATGGCAAAAGAAACCGTCAAGCAATGCAAACAAGTCTTTTTTATGTATGCTATAATTATGACAATTCAACTGTTTATAAGATTTATTTGCTTCTGATCATCGTTACATGGACAATTTTCAAATAAGAAAAGTTACCAAAACAAAACAATCATGATATACGTGCCGTGCGACGGAATTTATTTGGATATCATTTTCAAAAGTCTGAATTTTAACAAAACTAGCACTAGTTTGGAGAAAAATTTAATCAGAAACCCTTAAACTCAAAAATATAAAAAATAAAAATAAAAAGGTATACTGATATTAATCGTTTATCCCCCAATATTAGCCAAAATACCAAATTGTTCCTATCAGGGTACAGTAACACCTGTTCAACGGCCTACGAGACCCTGATAGTGCATTGCGTTCTATTTATAGAATCATGCGTCGGTAATACCAACTTGCAATACAAACGAAAACCAGGTGGTATCTATTATGAAAAATGAACAAACATTATCGGAATCGATAATTTGGAATAAAGTTTATTGATAGTTATCTAAAACATGTCCCGTTTTGGGTACAGTGATGTTAACGTAAATAAATTGATTTGTTTTAGCCCTCCCCTGAAATTGACGAAGCAAGCAAGATCAGAATAAACCATTTCTTTGTAACTTCGAGACTGAGAAGTGTTACTTTGTTGGCTTATCCAAAATTTGCTAAATCACATCAATAATGTCACAATGTATCGGCGTTATTCCACAATGTAACTTAATACCATTTGACATGGACACTTGAGAGATTTTCCTGCCAACTTTATTCATCTATGTTTTCGATGGTCCTCCATACTCAATGCCACATACTATCCTAACAAATAAAGGCGTAAACAAACAGTGTTGTTGGTTACACTGCAGTACACGCTTTTTGCATTGATTACTGACCCGTAAACACTGACCGTAAATTAAATTGTTGAAAATCGTGCAATATTGCACTCCAACAAAATATCGTAGAGCTAAATGATATTGACGGTATAAATTAGCAACAAGTAAAAAGTACAAATAATTGCAAAAGGTTCATACTACCGAACAATGGTGAGATTCCCTGTAACCAATATGTTTCTGAGGAAAAACAAAAAACGCGTTTAAACATAGTTTGTTGCCTTTATTTTGAAAACAATGCAATTTTATATATGAATTACCCTTTTCACATATTCAGTGTCTATCAAATGTATGAACCCAATACATTAGTAGCTATTAGAGTCCCTAGGAATCCAATGTTAGAAAATATAACGAATGAAAATGACAAAGTATTTTTATAAATAATCGACGGTTTACTTTGTGTTCACAACGCTTAATCTCCTTGTGATTATTTCACCTCGATATCTTTACTTAAAATAATGTGATAATCATTTAAGATGCTCACTGTGTACATCTGCAATTGATAGTAGAAACCAAACAACACTTTTTTAAGATTACCAAACGTGAATAGTGATTAATAACTCACAACTCACCAAAAGGTGGAGCATAACAACAGCCACAAGACCTGGTGCATCTAGACGTGTCAATTACGTATACATGTAGATACAATAAGGTCCCGATCCACCCAAGTTGCGATCTGAGGAAATGTGCTATGGTATATGCATATATATACCATATAGATCGAAACGAACACAAAAAGAGTCTTATACAATTTTGAAGCAGGCATATCCTGACCTTCATCATCAATATCTAAACCACTCTGGTACAGACAGGTATTAGTAGCAAGTGTTCAATATTTACAACATAAAAAATAAAATTAAAATTAAATTAACAAATTAACAAACAAACAATAACTTACATGATCATAATATAGTATGTGCCTACTCGATCAGGTCAAGCATTTTGTAAATATATATTTTCATAATTTCAACGCTGGATTTGTGAAGCAGGCAAATCCTGGACTTCACCATACACAGAGTTACATGTACCTTTGTAACAGTACATAAAAAGCATAGAAAGCGAGCGTCACGATATATCTATAGCTACCGTATATGCGGGGAGCAGACAAATTCTGAACTCCTTGGCATTTTTGACCACACTGATGGAAGATCTAGACAACTTCATTCCAGCCAAGGAAAGTCACTGATTTAGTTATTTACATTTGAAAAGCTTTGATTCTGATGTATTTCCGAACCGCATTGGAATTCCATCTTCCAATCTGTTGGATTACAATTTCAGAATAGCCAAGTTGTGCAGCTTCCGTGGCTGCACCGATTCTGAAGCTATGGCTTTTATACAGTTTTGGATTTAACCCTGCAAAAGCCACAGCGTTATTCAAGTGTTTCACCATCAATGAATAGGAGAGTGGAACGCCATTACTGATATGCAGAAGTGGGCCTGTTGAATGTGTGGACACCTTGCAAAATGTTTGCAGAGTGTAAACAGGGCAATAGTCAGAGGGTGGGTTGTAAGCCTCCAAGTGTAAGCAAATTGGCTTATTTTCGGAATTGTTTTTAAAATGCCGTAGAGTCATATCAACTCCGAAACCCTCTTTCCCAACATTTGTATCAAACCTTATGTCGTCCCTCTGCAAGACTCTGCTCGTATCAGAACTGGACTTACAGACCAACTCACCAAATCTCAAAAAGGCATGGAAGGCTAACAAAAATGTTGTCCTCAAAAGCAGACGCACAACGGGGTCAGAAACAATGACATTTAAAGAGTGCACCAATTTATATAGGATCGACTTTGTAATTGGCAATCTTGTATCATTGCCAGTGGTACTCAAATTCTGACAACCTTTTATCATTTTTCTTATTAGTAAGGAATGTGTTGGGTCTTGTAATTTCAGTAGTTTGTGAGCATAGCTTAATGCAGATTCATGAGAGGCGATGGTAGCTGGGCTATATTTTTAGGTGGAAGAGATGTGCGATAAAATTGGCAACAACAGGCATTGGCACTGGCAGATCGAGTTTCATTGGACTCACAAAGTCGTATAAAAGTTGCCAACTTCGTAAGTATGCTGTCTTTGTTCGGCTGGCAGTAGCCGCTGTTAATAATGCCAATGCATCAGTATTTGGAGCACCTCCAACCACACTGGGATCTTGGTTGGAAGATGTTCCAACCATGAAGCCAATCTGTGAGCTTCCAGGAATTGGAAACGGGAAAGTTTATCAGCAAGGACGTTACATTTTCCTGCTATATGTGAGACCTTAAAATACACATTGTGTCTAAGAGCAGCAAGGACTAACCTACGCACCAGTATCATTAAAGTTGAATACGTGGAAGACTGTTTATTGACAATCACAGCTTGATTATCTGACTTAAAAAGGATACGTTTGTTTTTTAGCTGGTTACCCCATATCTCTAAAGATAGGACAATTGGAAATAGTTCCTTGACTGCAATTTGATAATGAGCCATAGCTGGTGTCCAAGATTTTGCAAACCACAGTTTTCCAAAAACGCTAGCATAGCCTATGCTACCAGATGCATCAGTGTACATGGTCCGATGATCTGATGTTAACCACTGATCATGCAAAAACACTGATTTTCCATTGAAACTTTCAACGAAACATAACTATGCATGCAAGTCTGCCCGAGCTTCGTTATTCAAACGGATAAAATGCTCAGGATGCTTTGCTTTTGTACTCAGATCTATAAGCCATCCTAAGAATGGTTTACCTTGACAGACCACAGCACAACTCCAGCTTAGGAGCCCAATCAGGGATTGCAAATGGCGTAACTTAACTTTCTTACGTTTTACCATCTCATGTAAACCTTGTCTAATTTTGTCCAGTTTTACCTGTGGAAGACGGCATTTCATCTGAATAGAATCTATTGCAAACCCATATATCGTAATCACTGTTGTTGGACGCTCGATTTTCGAGGCTTTAATTGGCACCCCGAGAATATAACAAAGTTTCAAAAAAATATTTAAATCTGAGCCACATTTTTCTGAGACTGGAGGGCCAACAAAAAGGAAATCATCGATAATATGAGACATTCCTGAAGCTTGGTATTTATTTAACATTATCCATTGTAAAACAGTGCTTAAAGCCTCAAAAATTTGGCAAGAACTACTCGCACCCATTGGGAGACACCGGTCATAATAGATTTGATTACCCCATGTAAAACCTAGTAGTGGGTAGTATTTGGGATTAACAGGTATAATCCTAAATGCATCTTCAATGTCAGTTTTTGCAAGGAGACATCCTTTACCAAACTTCTTTACCAAAAAGATGACGGTGTCTATTGTATCATAGCTTACCGTTGCTTTTTCCCGTGGAATGTTTCATTTATTGATTTTTTTCGAGGAAAGGATAGATTATGAATAATGCGAATTTTTCCAGGTTCAGATTTTGGAACCAGACCCAACGGTATATATATATGTTTTCAAGCCGGAGCTTTTTTTTACTCAATATATATTTCAAACTTATATTTTAGTTTATTACCGGTGTACAAATTAGCATTTTTCATATTATATAGAAAATTAAGCTATACTAGTATCGAACCTACAATTATGCGTTACAATTTACCATAACAAAATACACCGTTTGGTAAAAATGCAATGATATAATAAGCTTCGACAGAATGGTCGATCCGTGGTCACAGTCGCTGCAATAAATAGCCCAGAGAAATGACCTTGCGTATTGAAACCTTTTATATGCCATGAATCCGGGCTTTACTCTGCTGCTGTTTTTGTTTGGTTTTATATTTTCATTGATATTGTTGTTTGCCTTTCTTTGAACAGAAAATTTATCACAATACATGTGGGAGAACGAAAATGTCTATAAGTGTTGGCATGGGGTATTGTAAAGTATAGAATGGAAAAATCAAATGCTCCGATAGATCTAGAAGTGTTTTTGAGTAAAAGGTCTAACTATTGAAAACACGTTTTTGGAAAATCTCAAAACATCTCAAAACTCTTCAATCTGTTATTCTACTTCTAGAATCTTTAGTGTCACAATACCATTGTCATCATGCTTTAAAAGTGCTTAGATTGGTAATAAAAACTCTATGACTTACTTGCGAAACTAGCAGTCACAGAGTTGATTATCAGGATTCATGTGGTTTTTTAATACCCGATATCATCGAAACAAGTTCACAGGGCGAACATTGGAAAATATGTGGAGACTTCTATGGCTATCTACCCAATTGAGATTAGTTTTGCAAACAGGAAAAGTGATTGTGAAGACGTTAAAAGATGTTTTCCTGTCTTCACGACCACAGAATCATGCAGATAGTTAAGAGTGGTTTGAATATCGAGGTTAGAAAATAACCACTTTGTAAACGACTAACCTTACAAAACGCCTGGGTTTGTTGCGATGGTTTATGAGATAGTTGTACATATCCATTTGAGTTTGTATACCCTAGGTCCTGATATTAAATGATCTTGAAACGTTACATAAGTACTTCCTATCAACCATTCGCATAGAAATTGACAACAAAATGTTCGCCAGAATCTTTAATTATTATAAAGAAATTATTTTTACAAATTCAAAAGTTGAGAAAACGTAATCTGTCAGTCATTAATGATAAAAATAATAGCACTTTAGTTTCAGCATTTGAAACCGAGGGTGAATATTTTGAAAAGTGGTCTTGTGGACGTCGAATTGTGTTTTTTAAATTCCATCATATGTAAACAAAATCCATTCGTTTTAAAGGAATTGAATCAGTAAATACAATACAATATATGCATCTTGTCGCCAAAGAGCACTAAATCAACAAATACATATCTTCTGAACTCGCTGGTATGTCCAATTTAATCTGTACATCATGTGAATTACATTTAGCACGTAACAACAAAGTCGAATGTTGTATAAATGAAATATTATTTAATATGAAATGCAAATCTGATAACACATATTTTAGCTTCTATAGCCTTTGAAATAGACAGAGGTTAAAAAATGTGCTCTGTACACTGTTATCCACTAAAACCGCCGCCCAGGTACAATCGGAGTTTCCGAATACCTGTGTTCACAGGCAAGTGCAGAGGTAACGCGCCTCACATTCGTCAACAGATTACTAGTATGTATTGTATATATATATATATCAATACATAATGATACCTTCATGAAAACAAATAACGAAAAAGCATTTGATTGTTATATATTAAGAGTAAAATACTTTCGAAATGCTTTTTTGAAGAAAAGACAGTTAGAATACCAAACTCCCCCCACCTCGCGGCCGGTTACCACAGAGGTGGTTTCGAGGATATATCTTATATAATCCATTCCAGATAATCCGAAGAATCTCATCATATCAGGTAATTGACAGACAAGTCTGGTACATAGTACATAAAACGTGGGTATTTAATAGATTACATTCACAGTTATCGAAAAAACGAGAGCACATCCACCTCTTTAAGTCCACTTAACTAGTACTATGGTTCTTTCTAAAACAAAAAAGGCGCATGTTAAAAGTCAACAGAATAATGTAACGTACACCTTTTCGCTATTTAGAAAGATATGTTCCTTTATGAATTAAAGAGTAAATACCCAAGTGTTAAAATTACTAAACGCCTCAAAATCAGTAGTTATGATCAACTGTATGTGCCATTTTTATGTGTGTATTTTTACTTTCGAAATAAGTAAATACTACCTGATATACGATAAAATATCGCATAATGAACGTAATCGTGTACGACGATCAAAAGATAACGACTTGTGTTATCCTGATATGTTGACATAAGCCATGGTGTTAACATACCGCTATCGTAACGCTATAGCGTTTCAGTAAGCCTTTGATATCACTTGAATAACGGATGACGTCATTTGTACATATAGAAGTAGAATGTCACAGGCAACGGGTATCTTTGCTATTTATTTCATAGGTCTGACAACAGAGACAAAATTGTCTTTATGCCTTTACTGATATGTCTAGATTTAACATGTTTCTCTTTTACAACACTTACGTTAACATCTAACTCGAGTTCAAAGATATTTCGTTTTAGGACTCACACAACTAAATCATTTACTATATGTAATTACCAAGCTTTTGAGCTAATAGCGTTAATAATTTAAGTTCAATACTAGTAACAACTGTCTAAATCCACAAATACATACCTGACAAAGGCTTCAAAAGGCATTTCTGGTGAGTTTAGTGGCATATATAAGAGCACTACAGACAACTGCTTTCGACAACCGGAAGTTCATAAACCAAACCGGTAAAGTGGGACGTGAACACTCTGACATTTGACCCCATATCAATCCGCCATCATATTTTAAAATCTACTAAAACTATACGTTGTTCTAAAGTTCAATATCTGTAGATTTCATTCAATATAAAATATGTCAACAACTACCTTTTTAAATTACTCAGAGACACTCTATTAAACCGGAACAAATTTAAGGTAGGGACTACAATCGTATGAAACACAAATTAAATAGCTAGCAGCGTGCTTTCAATTTTGCTATGATATATTCCAGGGGTGCAGATAGCGAAAGTGAGCGTTATCGAGGATGAATGCTAGTTGTGGTGCGCGTTAATAACCGTATTATCTTCATCCTCGATATCCAGGGGTTACGCTCACTTTCGCTCTCTGCACCCCTGGAATATATCATAGCAAAATTGAAGGCACGCTGCTAGCTATTTAATTTGTGTCAGGTAAAAAAAAACTGACCAATCACTAGGCTGACGATTGTTCTTTGAAGATTACAGAGGGGCGACGCCCGACTTCAAAACCAGTAAGTTTCACCGTTATTCGACCGTGAGATTCTTTTGATGTACATCAAAGGGTCAAATTAGTCTTCTCGTCTCGTCCACAAGGTGCTGCACACTGAGTCTTCGATTTTGCCATGGCATATTCCAGAGTTGTAGAGAGCGAAAGTGAGCGTAACCCCTGGATATCGAGGATGTATTATCTCAAATGTACAGGTATAATGTCAAAATATACAAGCGGAAAAAACTGTATATACATGACAATTCACACACATGACCGAGTATGACACATACACACCTCCGTGTGTCATTGACAGTTTTTCCCGTGCAGTTTGCTCTCTATAGGCGTTGACCAGTTTGCACGTTTTTCTCGTCCAGCCATCCAATTCGACAATGAAAGTTTATTTTTCAACTGTTGGGTCACTCTGTTGACACCAATGAACAGTAAAAACAGCATTATAACGTTTTAATTTGTAATTACTGCTATGCCGAGGCTCAATGAAAATGACCGCCTCCGGATTATTGGTATGCTTCAAGCTGGTATGGGCCAAGCCGTTGTCTCTACACGTTTTCATGTCCATCGAAACACAATCCGGGATTTGTGGAGTAGACATCAACAGTTTGGCCACGTCGGCGATCGACCTTGTGCGGGACGTCCACGTGTGACGTCACGTCAACAGGACAACCATATTCGGCTTGTCCATTTGAGAAATTGCTTCCAAACGGCAAGTTCGACTGCACGGACAATCCCTGGGTTGCTACCAATAAGTCCGAAAACTGTACGGAACCGATTGTGTGAACGAGCTATCCGTCCGCGACGTCCTGCAATCCGCCCAGTTCTTCTGCCACTTCATTGTGTAGCACGTCTGGACTGGTGCAATAGGGATCTGCGATTGGGCAGGCATTTTGTTTACGGTCGAGTCAAGAGTCGACCTGGATAGTAGTGACGGCCGTTCCAGAGTGTATCGTCGCGTTGGAGAACGTTTCCGTGACGCGTGTGTGGTACAACGACGTTACGGGAGAACCTCTGGTGGTTGTTAACGGAAATTTGAACGCGCTACGTTACCGTGACGAGATCCTCCGGACCCACGTCGTTCTATTCGTGCAAGGGCAGCAACGTCACATTACGCTACAGCAGGGCAACGCCAGGCCACACACAGCTCGTGTCGCTATGGACTTTCTGGCCCAATAGAACGTTGACAGGTTGCCCTGGCCTGCTGTATCCCCCGATCTGTCGCCCATTGAACACGTCTGGGATGAAATGAAGCGCATATTACGGGCATTGCCTAATCAACCGGTGACGTTGGCTGATTTGGCTGCAGCGTTGGTACAGATCTGGAATGCCATCCCACAAGCATTCTTGAACCGTCTGAAAGGCTCCATGCGTCGACGTTGCAAGGCTTGCATTCATGCAAACGGTGGACATACGAGGTATTAACTTTGTGAACTCAGTATTGACCCCTGCTGTGTTTACGTCACTCCTGAGCCGAACTTATTGATTCCATAACGTGGAAAATGGAATGAACTGTTAATAGATAACAAATAAATTGTCCCTGAAAACCTTGTTGTTTTACGTCAAACACATTTATTTTTATAACACATTCTAGGCATGCACAGTTTCTTTTTTCCGCTAGTATATAAAGAACAAGAATCCAGATGGTAGGATTTAACTTCACCTGTTACAAATATGAGCTGATTGATTGCATGTAGGACGTAAATCTCACTGATGACGGTCCAAGTACTATTATGAGGGAATATCTGAAGAGTGATTGAGACATCACTGACAACAGCTAGGACGGGTCCTTATCGCCTAAGTACGTGTACCGTTAGAACCGGATCTGAGGATTGATGTAGGACAGCAACGTAGACATAACGGAGGAGATTTTAAAAATCGATTTAGGACTTTGACTTCACTTATCAAAGGTAGGACGAACACCTCATTGTTCACCTGTATGCACGACAGAACCCGTTGGCGTAGAGCGTTACTGGCCAAAGGCAGACAGGAATTGCAATGTGTTGCTCCACATATTGTTTATACTAATAATTATGATATTGTATATGTTAGAAAATACGGCCATTCGGTCTTGTGTGTTTATTTGCTACTGCGTTAGACATGATAATTTACATTCTAAATACAGGTTACCCTTTCAACGACAAACTGGATGACACGTAGCGGCCATGAAGCCTGTCATTGCTTTCTGATAAATTATCCTTTACAATAACGAAAGAAAAGGTTATGTGTTTGGAAGTTGATAAGTATATGTACATTTAATACGATGAGCACACACGGAGGTATGCAGTTATATAGACCTCCTTAACACATTTTCATATTAACAAACTGCAGAATTAATTGATCTGCATTTATATCTGTATTAGGTACATATCGTCGAATGGAGCATGAAATAAATGTAGCATTCCTATTGATTTACATTACTCAGTTTAAATAAAAGTCATGCTTTTTTACATTCGCTCATATCAGGCAACTATGTTGTACTCATCCTAACAAAAGGGGAAAGGGAGTAAAAATATCTGTTTACGTCTATATTTGATATTTTTTGACTATTTCAATGTATTTATACCTTGTTGTCACGGTGTATAATCTACGTTTTGCGTACTTTTTTGTATTTTGCATGGTCTTGTGTGGGATTTGGGTTTCGTAATGATGATTTTATTTTCCATGGAAACTGTCGCCTTCCGTTGCACTTCAGCGCCTGCTGAATACCAAATAACGAGTACCACGACAGTTTCGCTTCTTGGCAGCAGTCCCAGCCATAATGACTCATTATACAAGGGACAGAATACAGAGTCGGAAGTAGACGTCCCGGTCCGTCACATCGTTTTCATCAAAGTACACAAGGCAGCTGGTACCACCGTTCAGAATATATTCCTACGCTACGGATATGTAAAGGATCTCGTCTTTACTCTACCTATGTATGACTCGACAATCAGCATTCGCAGATTTGTGACAGGTTATAATGTTCGTCCACCACCGAAAAATAAATCTTTTGATATCGTAAGATTTAGCCGAGAATCGTTCAGTAAGGTACAGCCGAACGATTCTAGATATATAGGAATTGTACGGGAGCCGTTCCATCAGTTCCAATTCAATTTGCAGTATTATCGTCAAAGATATGTTGTAAACATACCAGGAAACAAAGCCGTACTGGAATATCTGTTACACAATGATAAATACATGAGGTTCCGGGGGGGGGGGGGAAATACCTCTACGTACAATAGAATGTCGTATGATTTTGGGTTTCCTGACAGCTTGTTTTGGTCAAAAGATCAGGACGAAATTGAAAACTATTTAATGAAACTGGATAATGACATCGACTTGGTGATGGTGACGGAATACTTTGATGAATCTATTGTGTTGATGCGAAGACTCTTAAACTGGGATCTGAAATATGTTTTATACGGTAAACTAACCGAGAAAAAGAAAAAGGATCCTAGATTACAAATCGGATCGATCGATGAGAAACTGTATAGAAACTGGGCTACGCTTTATATACGTTTTTTGTAAAGAAACTTCAAGTGAAAATTAACAACCAACCCAAAGATTTCCATGACGAGGTAGCATATTTCAGGTCTATTCGAATTAAATATAACGAGTTTTGTATGTCGGCTATAACAGATAATTGTAAGAGAAGTATGTTATTCAACGTGAGTGTGTGGAACAAACCATTTATGGTTACCTCAAAAGACTGTACAGTGTTATACATGGAGGATTTTCCGTTTTTAAAAATACTGAGAGAAAAACAAAAAGAACTTGACGCAGCACATTATTCTTCAATGTTTGATTCTATGTTTGATCATTTATAGCTGGGACTTTTTCTTTTTATTTATTTATGTATTATGTTCCTGTCTCACTTTGCCTGGTACTGTTTGTTGTATATTTGCTGTGTATTGTAAGGATTCTTTTGTAATGTTTTACATTATTTTATTTATGTTTTCCAGTTTTGGATAGAAAATGTCTTGTATTTTATATGTTTAGTTTTCAGAATTTCAAAAATTAAATACATTATGAATTATAAAATGTGTTACTTAATTTTTGTGAGCAAGGTGGGGACTTTATCAGTCAGAAAAAAAACTTTTTGCTGGACTATCCATGTATACAGAGTAAAGAAACCACACCGCTCACGAAACTCAACATTCCAATACATACATTAATGTACCTCACATCGCACTTATATTGTGAAATGCCTTTTCATCTTTTCTTTATCAGTTGACCTGAGATTATAACCAACCCCCATTTTTTCATTCTTCAATAAACAAGAGCCGGCGACTCGTACAACAAGCTTGCGTGGAAAACAAGTATGGCCACTTGTTGGTGTCATGGTCGGAAGTAAACGGATCATACATACATATAAGGATTGATTCTTGCTTTGGTGATGAATTGAATTAGTCCCAAAGGGGTGGGCAGTGGGGGTACTCGATTTATATTTGTAATATTCTCAAATGTAATCAAACTCATGATACCTATGACTAATGAAG